AATCAGAGAAATCTAATAAAGACATTTTTAAGATTGTATAATCTTATTCAAATGCGTATATTGTACAATCTCCTCTCACAAGCTCACTCTCTCAATTGCTCCTCACATTGCATTCTCTCAATTGACTCAAATTGTTACTACTCAAAAGTAAAACCGCGTCTAAATACAACAAACTACGCATGTCATGGTGAATCTTTTTTCTCGCTGGTGCTTCTTCCTATCTGTCGCTCCGACAAAACTTCTCGTGTGGCACACTTTCTTATGCGTTTGTCCTGCTTATTAGAGTGGAATTGAATAGAATCTCCTGATAATATCTAACAGATGTAATACATGCTATATAATGTAGTTATTATCATATGAATATTTCGTTCTAGATGTTGACAATGTTTTTTTCTCGAACATTAGTCAACTCACGGACAACTCATTCAAGTTCAGCGTCGGTGAATTGAACCAAAAGCAAAAATTACTACTATAATAATTTTTAATTTTTAACAATTTTTAATTTATGCAACATATAAATACGAAATTTTTAACATCATGTTTGTGTCATCGATATTTATGATTTCTTTTTATCTATTCTTCTTTTTATCTATTTCTTAGAAGAAACTCATATTTTTTGACAAATCTTTATCAGATAATCGAGACTTGGCATTTTGGACACGTAAGCATAATAATTTGCCAATGTGTCACAATAATCTTGTTAACGGCACGCGTTTCGCCGTACGTGCACGCAACACAATTTTCAGACGAGACACAACAAAGTGCGAGATTCGGTTAGTTAGGGATCAAAGTGGCAGAGCGTGCAAGTGGATGAGAGTGGTTGTAACACAATTATGTTGCAATACGTGCTCGAGTTTCATCTGTATGCAAACTGTGCAACCGAAAGTAAAATTGTGAGGAAATGAAAATATAGAAACGGAAAGGTGCTGATGCTTACAAAATACCAACACGTAAAGAAAGCATTATGCATTGTGCAAGAAATAGCTCTTTGTGGTAAACGCCATATCAAATCTTATTATATTATTTTCACATTTATATCATTTTAATCTCTGTAACATTTACTTTAAAAAGTACGTGTAAATGTATAATCAATACAACAATGTAACATTCAAATTGTAATCGAGTTTTAAGCATGTTTTTTTTACTTCGGTAATTTATGGTGTCAAGAAAAATTTTGCGATAAATGATTCATTAATAACGACTAGGATTTATTGTTGTGATGAACTAAATCACGACAGTAAATTAAATCACATCCGACATGTACGAACTCTCATTCTGTAATTTCTACGCGCGTTGATTTTCGCAATTAGTGTTTTCGTAATCATGTCATATAAGGACACAAAAGAGCGAAGGACACAAAGGAGCGCAAGAGTCTTTCTAAGAAAAATGAGAAAATTTTTACTTTTTTAAATTTTCCGTCTGTAGACTATTCGTCACTGTGAATTATTCTATTGGACAAATAGCAATATCTATTTAATAAAAATAAGAAAAATATATCGATACGGTACAACATGATGATTGCAAGCTGAATAGCAGGCGTACGTTTCGCCTCGAAAGAAAGTCGTACGTTATTTGTCAGATACTACGTACAGCAGCATACGTTAAATCTCGAGAGAAAACGTTATGTGTTGTGGGATTTGTAGGTCACGTTCCTCTTTAGTATCTTCTACTTCACTCATCGATAAACGTCTGATACATATCCAGTCATAATTTAAAGAACGAATCCAATGGATCAGCGTTTGATAACGTCAATCCGCAATTAAAAAATTTATGTTTGTATTTCAAAGTTTAGTTATCGATGATTTTTGTTTATTAAGTAGATTATTGTTTTTGTCTCATCACATATTCTTTCCCACGTGAAATTATTTGCAATTCATTTTTTTGTCTTTATAAACAACAGACTTGTTTTTTTAATTGAACTTCTTGCATTGCTCCTCTTTTCAATACAATTACAGAAAAAATGTATACAAAGTTTAATTTGTAAAAAGAAAAAAAAGAAAGATTAATAATGTATGAAGTTCAGCTGAAAGTTTATTGTTCAAACAGAGGGATAAAAAGTAAATAATTTCACGTTTAATCTGACTTAATGACATAAAAACGTGTTGACGCACGAATCCTCACTCATCTTTAATTTTAATATTTATAAATTTAATTTAATTAATTTTAAGAAGATAAATATACAGATAATAAAATATGATGGCTTTCTTTCTTCTTTTGTGCTTTTTTTCAATTTTCAATTTTTAATGCCATATATCAATTTTTTTGCAGTAAAACGTAATCAGCATTTATAAAATTTCCATCTCAAATCACAGACACGGCGAAACTTGTTATTCCGGTCGAAAACGTGAGGTGCTGCACGATCTTGTCTGAGTCACATCTCACATCGCTTCGGGCTCGTTATAAAAGCCTAGGAATTTCGATCCGTGATTGGCAATGACCTTAAAGACGCCATTGGCCTGCTTTCCGGAAAACCTGTTCCTATTCAAGCGTAGCATTACTTATGTTCTTCCTCGTTTCTCCATCTTCCTCTGTACCATCGTCCCCTTTCTCCGTCTTGAACCGTATTCTGTCCGACTACATCATGTACCGTTTTGAAGTGCCGTAAGCACTTTTACTAGAATGACACTTCTCCGTGCCGAGCCTACGTTCCGGAAGAGAAACGCACGTCGTAAATGCATCCTCCGACTGTGAAGCTTGTCCAATTTAGCAATGCTTTTTATTACATTTAATGTTTAATTTTATGATTGGATTACGTGGTTACTATTAACTTCAATTTATTTAATATTACATTATATTATAAAAAGTTTAATAAAAAGTTTAAAAAATTCCGACAGATTTAATTTCAAAATTTATCTATTTAATTTTAATATTTATAAATTTAATTAATTTAATTAATTTTAATTAATTAATTTAATTAATTTAATTAATTTTAAGAAGATAAATATACATATAATAAAATATGATGGCTTCCTTTCTTCTTTTGTGCTTTTTTCAATTTTCAATTTTTAATTGGCTCCATCAAGAATACGATACACTTCTCGATATTAGTTTTGACTTTTGTTGATCCTATCTCTGTACAAAACAAAAGAATTTACGCGTACAAAAGAAAAGATAAAAAATACTTGGCTTTAAATTAAATTTATAATTATCTGTTAACATCCAATTATATTAGATTAATTTTGTTTATTTAGTTATTCAACATTATAGTTTGTTTATTTTGTTTTTTTTATCTTTATCATTTTTATCATTTGTTTATTTGGTTATTCAGCATTATTTAGTTCATCTATATTTTTATCTAACGTCAAGTTAATAAAAAAAGTAAAGTTTTATTACAAAATATGCTTTTAATTTGTAACAACATTTTTAATAAGAATTGAACAGAAGCGAATCATAGTTCCGAATTTCCGAAATTTCAGTCTTTATGAATGATTTTATTATCATGAAATTTCGAGTCACTCTAATTGTGCGATAAGAAAGTATACATTTTCGGTAGCACTTTCACGAGGATTTTTCATCTTTTACTACTTGCATGATAGCAATACAGTTGCAGAAGATGAGGAGATAGCTGTACCACTGACTTATAGTCAATCCATAATTAACCTTTAGTCACGTGGATCTTTTCTCTTTGGGTTAGAGAAAAACAAGGAAAATTATGCTTTTCGATGATACGTTGAAAAGCAAAATCGAGTATTCGAATTAATAACAGTATCATGAAATAAATTTGTATCTATTTACGGCCAATTTGAGACACAGACGAATACAATTAATTGTAAGTGGATAATTAGAATCTTTTTAATTTAATAAAACTGAAGACGTAAATGTCATAAACAACTTACGTAATCAGTTTTCAAAAAATTAATACTTCAAATGTAATTTCCAAAGTTCGTTTTAGAGAGATCCATAATTCATAATGAAATTTTAATTTTTTAATTTAATATATTCCGACGTGTACGAATGAGCCAATTCTTTAAATATTTTCTGTATATTTTTATAAATATTATACAGCACATAAAATTATAATCAAAATTACACTTTATAAATAATATTTTTAAAATGAATAAAAATACAAACTTAATTTTGTGATTCATGTTTATTAAAATACAAAATTTGTCTATAAAGTGGCCATTAACATTTATACTGATTATAAGACCTTCTCCTTAATAGCCTCTCTGAAATTTGAAAGACTTCTAACTACGTGCTATTTCTAATGTCGTAAATTGGACATTTAAGTAAGAATTTATGACATACTAAACTTTTAGAGAAGAAGAACGTAAGCTACTTTGGAAATAGCACGTCAACCTGGTTACTCTAGGTAAAGAGTTAATATTAGCGTAAGTCAAGCATTCGCTCAAACTCTGTTGCATTTCTGTTCTGCAAAGATCTACGCTGATTGACAGTCAGCGTTGTGCAAACATATTCGTCACAGACAATCGTTTAACACGAACATTTTCAACATGATGATGTTTGAACTTTTACTTCTAATTTTCTTTACCTTTTACCTCTAATTTACTTCTAATTATAAGATTAAAAACAAGATAATATTTGAATATATGTTTTTCTAATTCTGACAGCATAATATTGTTGTTATAATTATTACAAAGCAAAGAAAAATAGAGAGAAAGAGAGAAATATATTTACTATTCTCTTTAGATATATATTTACTTCTAGATACATATATTCTCCTTCTCTAATGATCTAATATCCGTGCTATTAACATCCTTTTCCTTTGCCTCATTGGTGTTAACTAATATTTCTTTGACAAAGTTCGCAAAACTGAAAAATGTAAATTTGTAAATTTAAATTGTATAACATTATTTTTATTTTAAGCAAAAGTATTATGTAAGCTAGATAATATTATTTAAGCTATTTATTTAGATAATATTATTTAAGCTATTTATTTTCGTAAATTTCGAAAAAATTCAAAGATATATATTTTTCTTATTTAATGCATTATTAAAAGATTAATATTACATGAAAGTAAATAAAAAATTTAGACTAATTCATGGAGATTTAGTTTCTATTTTCTCGTTTAATATAATTTATAAGAAAAACAACAGCTGTGACATTTTGTTAATCGACATTTCAGAGAAAGCAGAAGAAACCAATTTCTTTTCTAAATCATATCGCGCAGGTGTCGTTTTTCGATGAAATGATCCGTAATATGCTTTCAATCTAATAAAAAAATATATGTTTGCCAAGAAATCGTTAACATAACTTGGATGATACATTAAGGATAAATTTATACGTTAGTTGACATACAAACGTGAATGTTCATCGACGCAGTATTGATAGTCTGAATCCGGTTACGGGATCCATAATATGAGTAGCAGTATCGTGAATCAGGTTCCGTTAAATTATACGTAAACTCTCGACGTCGAGAGAATGCAGACCGACAAAAGAAAGGAACATTTATAGAAGTAGGGCACCTACATAACCCGCATCGTCTTCATCATCAGTCTCGCAGAACGTGGATATATGGAGGAGGGATTAACACTTTATACCTAATTAGCCATAAAGTAGAAAGAACATGTACGCATATTCAGCCGTGAGCATTTAAAGCTTCGTTATTTTTTAAATTTACTAACTCATGATTTATAATTTTAAAACTACTTAAATCGTCAGACGACGAGAATCTTAAATAATCATTTAAGGAAATTGTAACATTCATATTCCGAAATGTAGTCAATAAAATATGCCTATTCAACGTGACTTTTCATTTTCATTTGAAAAGAATAAATGTTTTCATTTAAAACATTTTTGCGTTGAATCATAATAGAACTGCTTGCGTAATGTAATATTACCGATAATTACGAGGTGTTTTGGTGCAATAATCACAATCTTCGTTGTGAAGGATCGTTGATGTGGTCGACATCGCTGTATTTATGACGACGTGTACTCTGCTTCGTACATAATTCGAGAATATCATTCTCCGCGAGACAAACCGCGGATACTCGTTTGACGTGACGAAAGAGCGATGTTTAGAAAATTCTCTTTTTTGTGCGTACACTGTCGACACGTGTGTCGCACATATTGACCACACATAATATTCTAGAAACTCATAACGTGATCGTTGCGTGGTTGTACGTAACGTATGTCAAGAATCATCAAAGAATCATTAATCTCCGGTTAACGGCGATAATATGGAAATCATTCTGCTGGTTCGTGATAAAAGAGACAAAGAAAAAAAACACTCGCGATAACCAAAAGACTTTTAAACTCGATCAGTTTGGTTTTTTTTGCTTCTTTCCGCTAACATTTTCGTGAATTTATTAAACAAAATTGAAAATGCAGACAATTAGCATATGTCGGGCACTTATTATTCTATGCATGATCTATGTGTTGTAAAATGCAAAAAAACGGTTGTTTATTTAACTTGATAATTATAATAATTTTTTCCTAATTTAACATGTGTTACATATTTTTTATTTAATTATATTTCATAATCATAATTTAATATTAATTATTTTCAAATTTTGTTATAATTTTGTTATAATTTTCGAGTTCGCACATAGAAGCATTTACATGTCTAAAACTTAAATTTGTTTAAATTATTTTTTTAAATATTTAAATACTTAAAAATACTTAAAAGTTTATTTAAAGAATTTTGAACAATTTTTGAAAAATATTTATTTATAGCACTTTTTGTCACTTTACCTATATTATTTAAAAATTTAAATATTTGCGTTTTTTTCTTATTTCCTTTCTTTTTTCTCTCAATATATAT